GAGGAGACAGAGGTTGAAGAATAATAGCCTCTTGTGGCTTGGGGGTTGACAGACAACCCATCTCCCCGGCTATATAGCCAGGTCCTTGCTCACCAACCAGAGGATGTGGCCACGGGCGAGTTCTGGTACCGGGGCAGGGCTGTGCTGTCAGCAGCCCCATGAGGACAACAGAGGCAGCAAGCTGGGGAGACGCTCCCCCACCTGTGACGGCACAATGTTGATCGCAGAGTGAAAACGGGGCAGGGAGAAGGAATTTGAAATTGATGATGAGAAGAGCGATGATTCGAACTAATATTGCCTTGGGTCGTGGTCTTGTCTGCCATTTTTAACCTGGTGATTTTGGATAAGTTGCATAACATAAGCCCGTGAGCCTCAGTTTCCTCATGCATAAATTGGAATCAGTCATTCTTCCCTCAGGTCTGTTCTGAGGATTGAGTGAGGATGTCCAAAAAAAGAAAGAAAGAAAGGCTTGGGGCATTGGTAAGCACTGATTTGTAAAGTCCGTCCCAACACAGCTAGGCACACAATGGAACCGGTAAGCAAAGGGTTAATGGAACTGCCCTCAGCTGCAACTTTTCAGCCAAACGTCTTTCATTTGCCTTTAAACTGCCCTGATTCTGCTCCTGGGAGGAGGTGGGGCTGAGTTTTATCCTGTCTCCTCCTTTTGCTGCCTGTGGAGGAGCTTGCTGGGGACTCCATGTCTCTCGGTGATGGTCTTTGCTGAGTATCGGGCAGGCGAACTTGGGTTTGGCTACAGATTTGGTGAGCCAGGCAGGAGCTCTGCGCCCGTGGTTTGCCCTGAGCTGCTAACAGGATTCTGGTGACTGGTCCAAGCAGTTGCCTAGGCTCTTTGTCGAGGGGCCCGACCTCAAGACCCCACTCCGACTGGGCACCATCGGCCTTCGGCACCTAAATTAACCTGCAGCAAGAAAATGGCTTTGGGTTTGGTTTAGACAGCGGTCTCTTGGTGAGTACTGCATACTCCATGGCATGGGAGCCTGCTTATTTCTTCCTCCTTCTGGTTTGGCTTTCTTAGATTTCTTCCTTTCACTCGGCTCCCTCCAAACACAGGATTTGGGTTTGTCTCCTTTTCTTTCTTTTTTTTTTTTTTTTTAACGTTTATTTATTTTTGAGACGGAGAGAGACAGAGCATGAACAGGGGAGGGTCAGAGAGAAAGGGAGACACAGAATCTGAAACAGGCTCCAGGCTCCGAGCTGTCAGCACAGAGCCCGATGCGGGGCTCGAACTCACAGACTGCGAGATCATGACCTGAGCCGAAGCCGGTCGCCCAACCGACTGAGCCACACAGGTGCCCCTCCTTTTCTTATGAGAAGGCAGACTAGCGAATTGTTTGGTTCAGTCAGTGAAGCTCTGAATTTTAGGGAGGAACTAGAAACCAGGAAGCCATTTGGTTCTGTGGGTGAAGCCTCAACTTTTGCGGAGGAACCAGTGCCCATGGAGGCACTCTGGGCTTCATTAGGCTTGCTGCAGCTTGTGATATCTTCGAATAAAACCAGCCGTGTTCTAATTGGAAAATGGGAAGTCCCTGCTTGATCCCCACATGCAGCCCTTTGGGCTCTGTTCTCCAAAATAGGGCAATCTTCTTTTGTAACACTGGCCACAATAGTCCTTCGACTCTTGAGAAAAATGACCAATTAATGAATTCATAAATTATACCACCTTGCAATTAGATTTGTGTTGTAAAAAGGGGTAGAGACTTGGAAATTGGGCCTTTAAGATTTTTTCTGCATCTTGTTTGTGTATTTGTATGTGTCCATGTGTGTGAGCTATTTGCTCTCCATCTGCATGGTGTTGCTAAAGTTAATTTGTAAAAGAATTCTGGTTAGTTAAAAAGCAAACGCTTGTTCGAATTGGACATTCTAAAACTCAAAGACTGAAACTAACCCAAATGATTTTCACATGATCTTGGAAAATATTGAGTAGTAAAGCTAATTTAAGGTTGCTGGTTTAATCAAAATGGACACGTGCTTAGAATTAAAAGCACTATAATATAAAACTTTTATTCTGCTTGTGTTTATTGAAAGTCACATAAGTTCCTGTTATCTCCATTGCAAAATTTGTCAAAAAAGGGGAAGAAAGGGGCGCCTGGGTGGCGCAGTCGGTTAAGCGTCCGACTTCAGCCAGGTCACGATCTCGC